ATGTTCTGGATTGTACTGGAACAGCTAAAGCTGCCGTTCGAGCACGCATACGTGCAGCCTGGAATAAATGGCATCTCCTTGCCTCTATATTGATGCGGCGTGACATCCCACTACCACTACGATCAAGACTTTATAAATCTGTGATACGTCCGGTGTTGTTATATGGTGCAGAAACATGGCCAATGACAACCAAACTGGAACAACAACTTCAACGAACCGACATGAAAATGCTTCGATGGATGCAACGAATTAGTCTAAAGGACCACATCAAATCTACCAAAATTCTGCGTCGTGCTGGTTTAGATGATATAAAGGACGAATGCCGGCAAAACCGTCTGCGGTGGTTTGGTCATGTCAAACGAAGTGGAAACAGTGTCATAACTTCTCTTGCAGATGTTGAAGTACCTGGCACACGTCCCAAAGGCCGTCCAAAGAAGTCCTGGTCGCAAACAATCGAGCAAGACATGAAAGCTCTAAATTTAAATGAAATGGATACAACTGATCGTCTAATTTGGCGCAAAAAGTTGATGGCAAAGAAAACAACGTCCTACCTCGGGAAACCGGGTCTCTGGACGCAAAACGAAGATTGATTGATTGATAGATATGCATCCAAACACCTTGTCACATCTAGAGATATTTCAACCTCATCTTGGTTTGATAAAGATCGCAAGCAGTTAAGGCAGTGTTGTAGAAAACTCGAGAAATTTATCCCAGTAAAATTAGCAAGGCTGCATTTGCGAATACCATTGTAAGGAAAAAATTGTTTTCTATTATACGAAAAAATTATTGAAGGAACATGATTGAATCAAATAGTGCTGACCCAAAAAATCTATAAAAAATTATTAATAGAGTTCAATGCAAAACAGGTGCAGTCAACACTTCTGATATGTCAATCGAGTTTGATTCAAATGATTTTGCTCAATTTTTTTAAAAAAAAGTTGATAAAATATTAGAGACGATGCACGGTCCTGATGAGCTGGATTTTCAACGTCATGCTCTTTAGATTATTTGTCAACGGAAATATTTAAGAAATAAGTCGATTTATTTATTCCATTTTTAACGGTTTTTATCAGTGCATGCTTGGCAACTAGATTATATCCGTCGTCATTTAAAAAAGCTATTATTATTCCGCTGATAAAAAAGCCGTCTCTTGGCAGGAACATTTTGGCAAATTTCAGACCGGCGTCTAATCTACCTTTTTTATCCAAAGTCATGAAACGTATTGTTCACAACCAGCTGGCTCATCATTTTAATCAACATGGGCTGCTGCCAAAGCGTCAATCGGGATTTAAACAATTTTATTCAACCGAAACAGCGCTGTTGGATGTATTGTTGGAAATTTTCGCAGCCATAGATAGACGGGAGATTTCTCTATTAGCATTGCTTGATGTTAGTGCGGCATTTGACTGTGTCAACCATTCGATCGTATTAAAGAAGCTTCAACACAGTTTTGGAATTTTAGGAAGGATCATCAGGTGTTTCGAATGATAACTTTCTGGTCGAAGGAAAAAGATTTTGTTTAACAATGTTTTATCATCCATTCAAGAGGTTAATATTAATATGTGTGCCGCATGGTTAGGTACTTGGACTTTTACTGTTTCTGCTGTACACAGCTGATGTATTGCATATCATTAACTCATTTGGGTTCAAACATCATGCGTTTGCGGAAATAAATGTCAACATTTCTAAATACTGCTTATCAGTAACCTTTTAATTGATTTTAATATCTTTAATATATTAAATAGTTAAATGTCTAATTAATTAATTTGGATTTAAATAAATGTAGGCTCCGAAGATGACATTAGCCAAAACGGCCGTCAGCAAAAATTTGAATTTAAATAAAATTGAAGCAATTAAACTAAGCCGAGTTGAAATTGTATTTTAAAAAGTTATAATAACAAAATGGGATATCGTTTTTAAAAACACATGTTTATCAGAAAAACTCGTACCGAATTATATATATTTAGCTTTTCTGTTCTATCATGCATAAAATAAACAAAAATTTTGGTTTTGAACTAAAGAAACTTGAAAATGATTTACGATCAACCGTTATAAAAATCGAAAAGTTAAATTGGAAGTTAACTAAAGCCGAACTTTTATCAATTATATATATATATATATATAAATATATAATATATATTATATATGTGAGGTTTTTTTTATCGCGCCTGTGGAATGAATGGCGCAAATGTGTATGTTGGCGCGCATGTTGTATGAAGTGGTCAGGTGGGCAGGCTGGTCGAATGTCGTATGAATTGGTTTTGTATGCAGATTGGTTGAATGTTGGTATGGCGCATATATGGTGAGTATGGTTGAGAATGAATGTTTCTCAGTTTGTTTAGAATTTGTTTAGTATGTAAACCTTTTAGACAATTGTAGAAAAAGAGGAAAGTTAGTGTTTTAAGTTGGTGTTTTGGAATAGCGTGAGGAATTAGTCTTTGGTTTTATCGTGGTTGTATTGGTCGGACGGTTGCTCTCTCGTGTTTCTTGTTTTGAGATTTCATTTGTTACGGCTGGTAAAAATATTTTTCGTTTATTTAGAACATTTAATTTAGTTGACTTTAGGAACATTTGCTTTAAAGAATATTATTTTGTTTGTTTTAAAGAACGTTTTTTGTTTGCTTTAAAGAATATTATTTTGTTTCTTTTATTTTTGGTTCATTAATAGAATTATTTCGGTTAGGCTTGGTTTGTCACTTTTAAAAACTAAAACATGTTTGAAGAAGACTTGCTAGCGGTTAATAGGGCCGGATTAACCAACCAGCAAGCAGGGCGCGATAATACTTCCGCCCGGCCCGTATTTTCTGACCCGGAAATAAAAAGTTGTGAAGAGGCGAGTCCCGGCCAGAAGCAAGACTGCCTAGGCTGGCGGCGGCGGCTGTTGATATTCGAGCAAAAGAAAAATTTCGCGGCTCGGCAAAAGTTCACAATTGGCGCCCAACGTGGGGCCCTTCTTCAAAAGTTTTAGGTGACAGGTACAGCAGGAGTCAAGGTGATTACCCTCGTCAATTTTTAGGTGACGAGTATATCACAGATAAAATTAAAATTGTTTCTCCCAAACTTTTAGGTGACAGGTATGGCAGTGACCGAAGTGAAATTCCTAATTCCAAATTTTTAGGTGACAGGCACGACAGGAGCCGTAACGAAACCTTTCCAAATTTTTTAGGTGACAGGGCTGGTTCTACCGAAAATATTTTAGATTTTAATTATCAGGTAGGTCAACAGTCAGTACCGGAGGCAGTTGTTTGTAAAACTTCTCCAGGATTTTCAGGTAATGAGTTTGACGACGCACAGAAAATTTTCAATTTTAAGTCTGCGGAATTCGCGCCAGAACAAGTTTCACCAGTTTATAAGCCTACGCCAGCACAAAGGCTCTCTGTTATTCGTAAACGTAATAATCTTTCAAATTCTAGGAATAGGTGCAGAATGGTTCAAGAGGATGAAAAAGTCGAACACAGTCCTTCGTTTGACAACCACGGGGAATCACTGCATTGTCAGCCGAGTGTAAATACCAAACATCATAGGTTGGTCCGACATCACGAGCTGTTAAAACCAGACAAGTTTGATGGCACTGGGTGTCTCAAAACTTTTCTTAAGAAGTTCGAGATATGTGCTATGTATAACCAATGGAGTATGGACGACATGGAAGCGTATCTGTCATGTTCGTTGACAGGTGAAGCTGCTGAAGTTCTTTGGGACTTAGCGGGACTAAGTTATCAAGAATTAGTAACAAAGTTAGAAAACCGTTATGGAACGAGTGGTCACGAAGAATCGTATAGATATGAGTTGCAGACTCTTCGACGCAAACCAGGTGAGTCGCTTCGTGAATTATCACAAACGGTAAAAAAGTTAATGTCGTTAGCTTACCCGGGCGAACAGTCAAAGTTGGCGGTACATTTAACAAGAGATTTTTTTTATTTGCTCTTAATGACGCTGATTTAGAACTGAAAGTTAGAGAAAGGGAACCAAGAAATATTGATGAGTCGTTACGAATTGCACAGCGCCTTGAAGTTTCAAAAAACTTAGTTAATTCATCCTACAGGTTTACCCCACAGGTTAGGAACATGCAGGATACAACAGAAAACAGGATGAAGGCAGTGGAGCGGCAATTAAACGCGCTTCGTCAATCGGTTGACGTCATTCAAGACCATAAGGTACAGTCAGCTGTCCCTCGGAGCAGAGGTGAAAAAGTTTGTTTTGGCTGTGAAAAACCAGGACACTTCATCTCCCAATGTCCTCAGAAAAATATACCAAACAAGTTTCAGTCAAGCAATCAAAAGGGTCAGAATAACTGTTACAGGTGCGAAAAATCAGGCCATTTCAAAAGGGAATGTCCAGAGAAGGAAAAGTCAAATAAAAAATCACAACGCGTGAACAAATCTAATGAAAGTGATGATCAAACTTTATATCTGCCGATTTTGATAAATGGCAAAAAAAGATTGGGTTTGTTGGATAGCGGAAGCTGCGTATCTATCACCCCGTCCTCAATGGTTGACGCCGCGAGTGTCATACCTACCAAAAGATCGCTGAAGGCCGCTAACAATACAGAGATTCCAATGAAGGGGGAAATGAGACTATGGATAAAGGTTGGTGGATTTTCTAAGCTTGCCTCGGTTTTGGTATCAGACCACGTGTCAGAAATTATCTTGGGTTTAGACTGGCTAGTAAATTATAAAGTCTCATGGAAGTTTGACGAAGCACAAATTACCGTTGGTAACAAAAATAGAGAAAGTGAAGTTGGTCACTAAAAGATCGTCAGAGAGGCAATTGTGTCGAATCTATTCCAGTGTGGAAGTGCAAATTCCGGCACGAGCTGAAATAGATGTACCTACAAAATTGGTGGTACGACAGCCATCCAAATTAACATTGACAGATTGCGTATGTTCTGAGGCAGGGCAAGTGACGTCGGGTGTATTTGTTGCAAGGACGTTGCTTCCGAGAAAATACGAGGGTCAATGTGTCAGAATATTAAACGTAAATGACGAATCCAGGTTGATTAAACAGGGAACGCGGTTGGCCGATCTTTCATGGGCCATCGTGAAAAATAAGTTGGATCAACAACCGCTGCAGGAAAATCTAGTTAACCATAATTGACGAATTGACCAGGGATGCCCTCGAAGAAGGAAGGCGTAAATTATCTGAATTATTAAATAATTTTCAGGATATATTTATTGATACAGGTACAGAAATTGGAGTTGCAAAAGGGTTTTATCATAGGATCAACAAAGAGCAGGCCCGGCCAATAAAGCAACAACTCAGACGTCATCCCCGGCACACCAAAAAGTTATCGCAAAACAGGTAGACGAAATGTTGGAGCAAGATGTGATTGAGCCATCTCATGGGCCTTGGTCCTCCAACATTGTCTTGGTAAAAAAAAAAGACGACTCATACCGATGTTGTATTGATTACCGGAAATTAAATTTGTTAACAGTAAAGGACGCGTACCCACTTCCAAGAATAGACATGTGTCTAGACGCGATGTCAGGTGCGCGGTGGTTTTCTACTCTTGATCTTAAATCATCTTATCAGCAAATAGAAATGCATCCAGATGATAGGGATAAAACTGCTTTCGTCTGTAACAAAGGCATTTTTGCCGTTTGGGTTATGTAACGCTGGCGCTACTTTTCAGCGCTTGATGGATATAGTGCTTTCGGACTTGTGCCAGAATACATGTTTGGCATACATCGATGATATAATTGTATATTCTAATAATTTGCAGGATCATTTTTTTAGGTTAAAACAAGTTCTTAGCAGGTTGAGAAACACAGGACTGAAAGTCAAGATAGAGAAATGTAGATTCCTCAAGGAAGCCGTTACATTCTTGGGGCATATTATCTCTTCGAAAGGAATAGCAACAGATCCGTCGAAAACGGAAGCTGTTCGCGACTGGCCCATACCAACTTCTTTGACGGATGTTAGAGGATTTTTAGGTTTAGCTGGATATAATCGACGTTTTGTTCGTGGATTTTCACAATTGGCAAAACCGTTGAACTTTCTCCTAAGGAACAAACAAAAATTCAGCTTGGGATTGGAACAGCAAAAAGATTTCGAAAATTTGAAGTCTGCGTTGACAATTGCACCGGTTTTAGCTATGCCACAAGACGGTGGATCTTTTGTTCTGGACACTGATGCTTCTCAGCAAACTATTGGAGCAGTATTGTCGCAGTTGCAGGATGGCAAAGAAAAGGTAATTGCGTATGCTAGTCAAACCCTGAGTCGAGCTGAAGAAAATTATTGCACCACGCGAAAACAGTTGCTAGCAGTCGTTTATTTTTTAAAATACTTCAAGCAATATTTGTTGGGTAGTCATTTTACTATCAGAACGGATCATGCACCGCTGACATGGTTGAGAAACACACCCGGCGGGATGGTTAGAACAAATGGAGGAGTTTGATTTTAATATTATCCACAGGGCAGGTACGAAACATGGTAATGCAGATGCCATGTCTCGGAAACCGTGTAAAAAAGAGTGCTGCAAGTCAGAAACACCAGAAACACGAGCGGTGAAACAGGTTAAAGAAGTAGACAAATTTATTGACCTGAGAGAGGGTCAATATGCGGATAAGACAATCCAGGTTTTTGTTAAGTGGCTGCAGGAAAATGCTGCCAAACCGCCCTGGGACGACATATCAAGTGAGGATAGGACGTTCAAAACGCTTTGGAACCTATGGGACCGCCTAATGATCAAAGACGGAGTCTTATGTAGACGGTTCGAAATAACAGAGACTGGAGATGTGGTTTGGCAGGCCTGGATGCCTGCAAATATGATTAACTCTGTATTATTAACTGCCCATAAAGGAATGACAGGTGGACATTTAGGAGTGAGTAAACTGAGAGAATCCATTCAACAAAGGTTTTACTGGCCAACATGGAAAACTGACGTTGAGATGTTTGTCAAGACGTGCGAGAAATGCTGTCGATATTACCGGGGTAAGCCACCACGGCAAGCAAAAATGAAAATAATGTTGTCGGGCATGCCATGGGAAAGGGAAGCTCTGGACATCACCGGGCCACATCCAAAATCGAAGAAGGGGCATATCTTTATACTAACGATTTTGGACCATTTTTCGAAGTGGACAGAAGCATTTCCGATACGAAAGCACACAGCAACTACAGTGTCTAAGGTCTTAACCACAGAAATTTTCCGAGGTTGGAATGCCGATGCAAATACTCACAGATCAGGGTAGGGAGTTTGAAAGCGAACTATTTACTACGCTTTTACATACTTTGGGAATCGAAAAGTTGAGGACATCCCGTACAATCCATCATCCAATGGGGCGATAGAGCGATTCCACAAAACGCTTAATTCAATGCTGGCCAAAGTTGTAGATGAATCCCAGAGTGATTGGATAAACATTTACCACACTTTATGGCAGCGTACCGGGCAAGCGTACATTCGGCGACAGGGTTTACCCCAAATAGGTTATTTTTAGGGAGAGAAAATATGATGCCAGTGGATCTGGTGTATCGATTACCTAAAAAATCCAACCTAGGTGAGACTTACCATGAATTTGTGAAACAAGTGCTCAACCGGTCATTAGTAGCTCATCAATTGGCGCGGGAAAGGCTAAAGACACTTTATAGGAAGTCATTGTATGATGCTAAGGTCAAAGTCCTGACTCTACGACCGGGAGACAAGATATGGTACCTGTACCCAAGATCATGGCAAGACAAATCTCCAAAATGGGTCAGCCCATACGTGGGTCCATATATAGTGGATCATTTAATTCCTCCAGTCAATGCGGCGATAAAAAAAACGACAGAGCTAAACCGTTTGTCGTCCACATAAATAAATTAAAATTGATTTGTTGATTAATTTTCGTTAATTTATTTTCATTTTTTTTAGGTAGGATAAAACAGTGCACCAAATGTGGGAGAAGGATGTTGACACGCAACCACAAGAGACATTTCGACAGGTGCTCTGGAGCGCATCAGATAGTCAGCTAGTGTCACTGGGACGGGCAATCCCGTATTTAGAAAACAATACACCGGAAAAGGCGGTCAACGCTTTGAAATTATCTTTCCCGGGTATTCCGTCTAGTGAATTATGGAATAGTTACATAGTTGCAAAGGCATCAATGAGTGAACTGGTCGCAGCATTGACCCCGAGCTTCTCACTTGAAAATTGTGCCGAGGAACCGACACAACGAAAAAGACGGGCAAGCGAAGCTAGGCGGTGGGCGAACCAGTTTATAGCCTTGGAACTGCCCGATGAAGCCCACCAAGAAACATCACTGGAGTCAGTGCCCATGTCGAGTCACGTAGAAGTAGCGGGCGAAAGCTTGGTCGACACACCATGCTCAACTGTCAAACCGTCGCTGGTGGACTGGATACTGGGAGGCCAGGTTTACGAGGGCGAGACGCCTTTCCCTGTAGACCAGGCTTCGACTATAAGCACTCCAGAGTGGGCAAAGGAAGACAGCGACATATTCCCAGCAACAGGCCCAGCTGTATCGAAAGGTAAAAAGAGAAGAAAGTGGCCGTCCAGATGGGGCCCGGAATTGATGACGATCAACGTCTTCAGCTTCGACGAGGAGCTTTGAAAGCAAACGTCGGGGCGACGTTCGATGGGGTGGGGGATGTTGTGAGGTTTTTTTTTAGCGCGCATGTGGAATGAATGGCGCAAGTGTGTATGTTGGCGCGCATGTTGTATGAAGTGGTCAGGTGGGCAGACTGGTCGAATGTCGTATGAATTGGTTTTGTATGCAGGTTGGTTAAATGTTGGTATGGCGCATATATGGTGAGTATGGTTGAGAATGAATGTTTCTCAGTTTGTTTAGAATTTGTTTAGTATATAAACCTTTTGGATAATTGTAGAAAAAAAGGAAAGTTAGTGTTTTAAGTTGGTGTTTTGGAATAGCGTGAGGAATTAGTCTTTGGTTTTATCGTGGTTGTATTGGTCGGACGGTTGCTCTGTCGTGTTTCTTGTTTTGGGATTTCATTTGTTACGGCTGGTAAAAATATTTTTCGTTTATTTAGAACATTTAATTTAGTTGACTTTAGAAACATTTGCTTTAAAGAATATTATTTTGTTTGTTTTAAAAAATATTATTTTGTTTGCTTAAAGAATATTATTTTGTTTCTTTTATTTTTGGTTCATTAATAGAATTATTTCGGTTAGGCTTGGTTTGTCACTTTTAAAAACTAAAACATGTTTGAAGAAGACTTGCTAGCGATTAATAGGGCCGGATTAACCGACCAGCAAGCAGGGCGCGATAATACTTCCGCCCAGCCCGTATTTTCCGACCCGGAAATAAAAAGTTGTGAAGAGGCGAGTCTCGGCCAGAAGCAAGACTGCCTAGGCTGGCGGCGGCGGCGGCTGTTGATATTCGAGCAAAGGAAAAATTTCGCCGCGCGGCAAAAGTTCACATATATATATATTATATATATAATATATATATTGGATTAAGACTGTCAGAAATGCAATTGTTAATGAAAATCACAGCATGTTCGGCGTTAGTTAACTTCCTGTTGGTAAAATTTTCGATTTTTCTAACGGTTGATCGTAAATCATTTTCAAGTTTCTTGAGTTCAAAACCAAAATTTTTGTTTATTTTATGTATGGTAGAAGAAAAAAGATTTGTTCGATATTTCTACAATGAATCATTGTTTTCACTAACAAAGGTTTCTCGTTATTTTCTTAATAATTTTATTACATATACATTTAATATGCATTCTAATTTTATAAAAATATTTCATGCTATTCTTATTTTCATAGGCTCTGAAGATGGACTTCCCGAAACAGCGCTGTTAGCCTTACCATGTCTATTGTTTTAAATAAATACGAGTTTAATAAATTCAGACTGTGAGTGTCATA